GTTCACTCTTCTTTGTCCCTGTAGGTCTACAAAATTGTCAATGGGCTTGTCCTCACAGGATCATTCTCGTACGACTCAATCGTAGATTTAACTGTCTACACTTGCTACTTGGTGATACAAACATTTCTCAACTATATGGATATATATAGAGTTAGATGGTTTAGCAATAGCGGCCTCCATATTGTAGAGTTCGAAAATAAATTAATCTAACAAATTAAGCTAAAAGTGGACAATGTCCATTCGTCCCCAAGCTAAATGCACTACTGGCTGGTCAAGGAATATATAGCTTTATATCAATTAATGGTTACAGATAAACTTCAAGGAATTGCTTTATTTTAATGATCCTCATGCAATACACACACACACACATACATACATACATACATACATACATACATACATACATACATATATATATATATATATTTGAGCAATTCTTCAAAATGTGCTACATGTTAGTGCTTAATTGCATCATATGCCACTGCATTTTTTAGGTTGGATATTAAATTCGAGCATAATTAAAAAATTTATTATGCAGAAATTTGCACCAAAAATATTGTATATTTAATTTGTCTTATTATTAATTTTGTTAGGACCATGATATTTTACAAACTAAATTCAACTGTGATTAAACATGGTTTGATAGAATTAATATCGTAACGTTCTTATTAGAGAATTTCCTATATAGAGTAAAACCTTAATCTAATACCTAAACCTACTTGTACATGGGGATGTCAACGGGGTGGAGAAAGGCCAGGTTTCCCATTTCTACCTAAACCCATTCCATCATCAACTTTTTCGACCAACAATCCATTTACCAGCGAAATGCAATGCGGAAGCTGTGGCGATGCTTTCCATGCCGATGCCCACCACGGTGGTGCCCGCTTGGGCGACCGCCATGGTGCCCACTAATAATGTTTTGGCGACCTTATCTCTTTGCTCAGATGTCTTTATGCCTATTTTACAAAAGGAGGCAAAGCCCTCACAATTGTTAAAAGCAAAATTGTAGGGTTCGTTTGTTTAATTATTTTTGCACTATCCTATCCTTATCCAACCCAAAATACACATTTGTTTCCCTATTATGAAAATTCTATTTTATTTTATTCAATTATTTTAAACCCTCTAAGTTTGTTAATTTAAATAAACACCCCAAAGAAAGTTTAGAAATTGACAAAAACACCCTCACCCACCCACATTTTTCAGATTCCGGCCACCACCGCCAGAAGGTGGCTGGAATCTAGAATAATGGTGCATTACCAGCTGGATTCGGCTGGTAGTGCGCTGATCTATCATTTTCCAACCAGATCTAACGGTCAGATCTTTGGCTGTAGCTGGTCGTCAACGACAGCCAAGATATGACCGTCGTTGACAACCAAACATGGCCAGATTTGACCTTTTCCAACCAGATCCATAGTGGATCTGACTGGAAAAGGCCATCTCGGAGCACGACCGGCTAAGAAAAGGCCATCTCGGAGCACGACCGGCTAGATCCAGCCGGTCGTGCCTCAATACGACGACTCTGGCCACCCTGTGGTGGTGGTGGCCGGCTACTGGTATTTAATGGGTGAGTGGGGGTGTCTTTGTATTTTTCAATGTTTTTATTACAGGGGTGTTTAGTAAATTAATAAACCTAGGGGGTGTTTTATTAATTTTCAAATCTTATCTCGTTATTCTCACCCAACTCTTACTTTTCCAAAATACTATCCAAAATACTAAAACAAACAGACCCGTATTCATCAAAGGTCCTTATTCCTTGGAAAAACGCAGTGGCAATCTTCACAACCTCATCGGGTGGCTTGCAGTACATCGAATTACTATTTAAAATATATAATGAGTAGCCATCGAGAAAGCAATTCAGGCATGTTTTGACGATCCCACTATGTAAGCTTGGTGTGTGCTTACATTTTGGGCATGCGAAAGAAGAGTTACTTTGCTTTGCAGGTGGTAGCAAATGAATGATTATGTTGTCCCCCACATATATTCCTATTATAATCAAGAGAGTTTTCAATGAAAGATAATATAAATACATATACAATATGATTATATATGATTTTTACTGAATAAAATATGAGAATAACAATTTAGAATATATGAAATCTATGATACACTTACCTACCAAATTATCACGAGTAGTACCACAAAATATAATAAAATTACAATAATTCCCCTGGAAATTTTGCCAATTTATCTTAAGAATTCAAATTTATGTTGCTGCAAAACGTTGGTGAAAAATCAAGTTGATATATCATTAAACTTGAAGAAAGCTTGGATCGTGTACGTTATCAACTGTATATATATAATATATACTAGGTTTTTGTTTTGGAAAATGACTTATATTTATATATACTTCCAATTAGATGTAAGTTTAAAAGAGTGTGAAAACTGAAAAATTTACCGTAATGATTGTAGTTTACAAACAAGGATCTGTCAATAGTGATGTGATCACCCGATTGGAGCTGGCTTGAACTTTGTCCTATCTTAATAAAATTTTCTTTTAATTTCCAATTTGTGATTAGAGATTAACTGTTTTCTAATTAAACTATTACAAATTTGTAGATAAATGGAGAGAAAATGCAAGGACTATTAGAGATTGGAATATAATCTTCTAAGAATATGAATTCATTATAAATGAATTGTTTTATAGTAAATGTTAAACTGTTAAGGAATAAACTTTAATAATTACTCTTCTGTGAAGTCCTATGGAGATATGCCTATGGATTAATTAAAAAAATAGTTTAGTAGATAGAGAATCCATGAAAATAGAAAGAATCAAACAAATTAAACTGTTAGTTTATCGAGGAACGTTTTATATGAATGGTTAGACTAAAAATGTTTAGGAATCACTTTATATTAATTATTTACGTGTTATATATTCCACAGATTGCGTATTGTTTCCAACCAAATCCTCGCGATTTGGCCGTTTTCGGCCTTTGATCTGGCCGGAAACAGCAAGATTGGCACACGGTTAGCCAAATCCCACCTTCATGGGTCAATCTGGTGACTATGCCGTGGCGACAATGGTGGCTGGCGGCAGGTGGTTGTCTTTGGGTGCTGGCATAATTTTGTTAACTTTTAAACTTTTGTGGTTGGGGTGTTTTAGCTAAATTCCAAATGTAGGGGTTTGGGTAATAATATTATTTGGTAGACATTGAGGCAATTGTGTCCGAATGGTATTTAATTCAGTGTAAAATGGGTATAAAATTAAGATTACCGCAGTAATCTTTAATCCACCCCTGAGGAGATAATCGACTACCCCCTATTAACCCACAGCAATCACTATTGGTATTGAAAGATTACCAAAATCTTTCGTTACTTGACAACCACAAGGGAATGTTCGGAATTAAAGATAGATTCCCAGAGTTATCTTTCTAGAGCTCTATCAAACACACCCTAATAGTTGGGCAATCTCCTACTTTGGTTGAGTGATGCATGTGGTCAAAAAGCATGGAGATGCTTTTAATGTTAGCTAAACTTTAAGCAAGGCTAAAAATAATAGTACGAAGTTCTTAAAAAAATGGTATATATCCTCTGTCTCTCCCAAATATTCCGTGAAGGTTAAAAAAAAAAACAAAATAGAGAAATATGCAATTGTTTCAGGGACTAATAGATCACCTCATTAATTTGTTCTTCATTTCAGAGACTAATTTTGATATTAAAGAGATGAATGAAGAACAAGCCAAATCTGTTAGTATGTGCAGTCAAGTCACTTAATGAAGAAGAGTCAACTAGTCAGCTAAGTGTGAGAGTAGTCACGTGCTAAGCATGTAACATTATTACAGTATTAGTAAAGTGCTGAAAGTAGTAAAAACAACGTTAATTCATTGTACTGAGCATTATTCTGGTGATAATATTAGTAAGCCCTCTCATTATTCTCAATCACAGTCTCTCTCACTAGTTCACAAAATTCTTACTTCCAAGAATCATCGCCTTTTCCGGTAATAGAGCCTATTTTCGACTACTCTACTCGTATCACTATAGAGACACGCCCTGGCCACTCTACGCCTAAAGTCACCACCTAACCAAAACTTCTGGTAAACCCTTTCTCGCTCTCAGCCTTACTAAATTCCTTTAACTATTTGACTAGCGTCGGAGTGCTTACGGCCAACACCACCATTGTCCCCTGAGCCTTCGTCTTCACTCTTCTTTGTCCCTGCAGGTCTACAAGATTGTCAATGGACTTGTCCTCACAGGATCACCTCGTGCACTCATCATAGATTTAACTGTCTACGCTCGCTACTTGGTGATACAAACATTTCTCAACTATATGGATACATATAGAGTTGATGGTTTAGCAATAGCGCCTCCATATTGTAATTCGAAAATTAATCTAACAAATTAAGCTAAAAGTGGACAATGTCCATTCGTCCCCAAGCAAATGCCTACTGGCTGGTCAGGACAATGTCCATTATTATGGGGACAATGTCCTTCGTCCCCAATTAATGGTTACGTATAACTTCAAGGAATTGCTTTATTTTAATGATCCTCATGCATACACACCACACACCAACACACACACCCACACACACACACACACAACACACCAAACCACCTTAATTAAATAATTAGAATTTTATTAATTATAACATTACATTATAAATTTATGGTATGATTACTTAATTAATTATAACATTCTATTATAAACAATATTGCAATACTTAATTAAATGATTAACAATTTAATTAATTATAATTAAACCCTAAACCCAAATAGTATATTTGTTAGGGGTGTATTTGTAAACTTTTAAGGTATTTTTGTCATTTTTTAAACTAATAGGGGGCTAATTAACTTTTTTACAGTGTACCCCGGAAAGGAACCGGAACCTGCATTTTAGGTTCCGGTTTCTTGAATTGAAGAACCTGCACTGTGCGGTTCCAGTTTCGGGTCCTTTGTTTGGGAACATGCACTGTGCCGTTTCGGTTCCGGTTCCCCCGGAAAATGGAGGGTACCCGGAACCGCTCACCCCTAGAACTCACATTTGCACTATTTAAGCCACTTTTTTTCTAAAACCCCCCGGACCTTTGATAAGATATACGAACACCTGTTTTACAGTAGGATGCAAAATCCTCGCAATTATTAAATACAACGTTGTACGCGCCAAAATCTCGTTTTCCTTGGAGAAACTCAGTGGCAATCCTGATAACATCATCTGGTGGCCTGCAAGGGATGGGATGATTAAAGATAAAAAGGATATTGCCATCAAGGAAACAGTCAAGACAAGTTTTGATGATTCCACTATGTTGGTCTCTACTGTAGCCACAGTTTCGACACAGAGAAACTGATTTATTCTCGCCTTTCTTTTCAGCTGGCATAAGATGAATCACCATGCCATCGCCCACATATATTCCTATAATTACAAAAGAAGAATGAATTAATGTAAGAACTCGAGCAAAATTATAATTAAATATAATAGTGAATGAAAATTACTTACCGTGATGAGAGTAGAGAATCCCCGCCCTATTACCAATGATATGATCTCCCGGATTAAGCTTAGACGGATGTCCCAGATTAAGCCTAGACAGATTGCTTAGTATTAGTCCCATTTAATTTCTCTTACTTAAACTAAGCCACTTGGGAATACAAACATTTCTCAAACGAGGATATAAATATAGATTTGGATCCTTGGGTTCTAAAATTGATGGAACAAAAGCTAAAAGCTTACATAGTCCAATATGGGTCCCTATAATAAACGTAGATAGTCAAGCAATATATTGCTTTTATATATATATGAATGGTTACATATAAACTTTTAAGGAATTGCTTTATGTAAATGATCCTCATGTAATTGCAATACATATATTCCATATGTTGAGGAATTCGAACTATATATATGGACTATGGGTCCCTATGATAAACGTAGATAGTCAAGGAATAATTGTTTTTATATATATGAATAGTTACGTATAAACTTTAAGGAATTGCTTTATGTAAATGATCCTCATGTAATTGCAATACATATATATTCCATATGTTGAGGAATTCGAACTATATAAGGATATGTTAAGAGATCACAAACATTTAGTCCTACTGTAAAAATTAAACTTTACATATAATTCTCAAAGCAGGATATTATGATAAAAACAACAATTGGTTTTTGGATAGATGGTGGGTAATAGCCCTCTCAGGGCTGAGTTTCAAGATAACTTCACTTGTCTATAACTTAACAAGATATCACATAATTAATTATTTTTTAATTTTATAGTGTTTTAAAAGGAAGCATTTCCAGTATATCATTACGTGTCATATATTCCACAGATTGCATCATCCTGTAATCCTGGGCCTTAAATACGATTATTTTCCATTTCCTTTTGTTGAAATAAAACTGCTAGTTTGTCAAGGAATCGTTTTATATGAATGGCTAGACTGAAATGTTATGGAATCGCTTTATATTAATGGCATGACCTTAGCTATACAAGAAAATACCTTAAAGGGTGGATTTGGTTCGAAGAATGTTTTATTGCTGAAAATATAAGATTACCACCAAGATAAATTACCTTAAAGATTACGGGGGAATGTTATATCAATATGTTTGGTTAGATTAGTGGGTATGAATAATTAAGATGTTTAGTTGGGAATAATAAAATGTTATCGACAAAGACTTTTACTGAATTGCCCTTCCTTTTTAATATCATTATAATATTATATTATTATTATTTAAATAAATTTTTTTAACCCCTTATATTTGAGAATTTAGCTAAAACACCCCCAACAACAAAGTTTAAATTTTAACAAAATACCCCTAGCCACCCAAGACTAACGACGACCATTGGCTACCACAACCGGCCACTGGCGTTAGTCACCAAAACAGCGCATGACTAGTGAGATCAGGTTGGCCATGCGTCGTTTGCGCTATTTTCGGCCAGATCAAAGGCTGAAAACAGCTAGATCACTATGGATCTAGCAAAAAACGACTAGATTCATGGCCATTTGGCTGTTTCCAGCCAGATCCACGTTAATATGGTTGTTTCTGGCCAGATCGAAGGCCGAAAACAACCAGATTGTCGTGCATCTTGTAAAAAATGGCTACAAATGGCCGATCTATTCTGATTGTTTCCAACCAAATCCATCGCGATTTGGCCGTTTTCGGCCTTTGATCTGGCCGGAAACAGCAAGATTGGCACACGGTTAGCCAAATCCCACCAGTCATGGGTCAATCTGGTGACTATTGCCGGTGGTCGACAATGGTGGCTGGCGGCAGGTGGTTGTCTTTGGTGGCTGGCATAATTTTGTTAACTTTTAAACTTTTGTGGTTGGGGTGTTTTAGCTAAATTCCAAAATGTAGGGGATTTGGGTAATAATTATTATTTGGTAGACATTTGAGGGCAATTGTGTCCAGAATGGTATTTAATTCAGTGTAAAATGGGTATAAAATTAAGATTACCGCAGTAATCTTTAAATACCACCCCTTGAGGAGATAATCTGACTACCCCCTATTTAACCCACAGCAATCACTATTGGTATTGAAAGATTACCAAAATCTTTCGTTACTTGACAACCAAACAAGGGAATGTTCGGAATTAAAGATAGATTACCAGAGTTATCTTTCTAGAGCTCTATCCAAACACACCCTAAATAGTTGGGCAATCTTCATACTTTGGTTGAGTGATGCATGTGGTCAAAAAGCATGGAGATGCTTTTAATGTTAGCATAAACTTTAAGCAAGGCTAAAAATAATTAGTACGAAGTTCATTAAAAAAAATGGTATATATCCTCTGTCTCTCCAAATATTCCGTGAAGGTTAAAAAAAAAAAAAACTAAAAATAGAAGAAATATGCAATTGTTTCAGGGACTAATAGATCACCTCATTAATTTGTTCTTCATTTCAGAGACTAATATTGATATTAAAGAGATGAATGAAGAACAAGCCAAATCTGTTAGTATGTGCAGTCTAAGTCAGCTTAATGAAGAAGAGTCAACTAGTCAAGCTAAGTGTGAGAGTAGTCACGTGCTAAGCATGTAACATTATTACAGTATTAGTAAAGTGCTGAAAGTAGTATAAAACAAACAGTTAAGTCATTGTACTGAGCATTATTCTGGTGATAATATTAGTAAGCCCTCTCATTATTCATTCAATCACAGTCTCTCTCACTAGTTCACAAAATTCTTACTTCCAAGAATCATCGCCTTTTCCGGTAATAGAGCCTAGTTTCGACTACTCTACTCAGTAATCACTATAGAGACACGCCCTGGCCACTCTACGCCTATAAGTCACACCCTAACCAAAAACTTCTGGTAAACCCTTTCTCGCTCTCAGCCTTACTAAATTCCCTTTAACTATGTTGACTTAAGCGTCGGAGTGCTTACGGCCAACACCACACCATTGTCCCCTGAGCCTTCGTCTTCACTCTTCTTTGTCCCTGCAGGTCTACAAGATTGTCAATGGACTTGTCCTCACAGGATCATCCTCGTGCGACTCAATCATAGATTTAACTGTCTACGCTCGCTACTTGGTGATACAAACATTTCTCAACTATATGGATACATATAGAGTTAGATGGTTTAGCAATAGCGGCCTCCATATTGTAGAGTTCGAAAATTAATCTAACAAATTAAGCTAAAAGTGGACAATGTCCATTCGTCCCCAAGCTAAATGCACTACTGGCTGGTCAAGGACAATGTCCATTAATTGGGGACAATGTCCATTCGTCCCCAATTAATGGTTACGTATAAACTTCAAGGAATTGCTTTATTTTAATGATCCTCATGCAATACACACACACACACACACACACACACACACACACACACACACACACACACACACATATATATATATATATATATGTGTGTGTGTGTGTGTGTGTGTGTGTGTGTGTGTATTTTTTTGAGCAATTCTTCAAAATGTGCTACATGTTAGTGCTTAATTGCATCATATGCTACTGTATTTTTTAGGTTGGATATTAAATTCGAACATAATTAAAAAATTTATTATGCAGAAATTTGCACCAAAAATATTGTATATTTAATTTGTCTTATTATTAATTTTGTTAGGACCATGATATTTTACAAACTAAATCCAACTGTGATTAAACATGGTTTGATAGAATTAATATTGTAACGTTCTTATTAGAGAATTTCCTATATAGAGTAAAACCTTAATCTAAGACCTAAACCTACTTGTACATGGGGATGTCAACGGGGTGAAGAAAGGCCAGGTTTCCCATTTCTACCTAAACCCATTCCACCATCAACTTTTTCGACCAGCAATCCATTTACCAGCAAAATGCAGTGCGGAAGCTGTGGCGATGCTTGCCATGCCTATGCCCACCATGGTGGTGCCCGCTTGGGCGATCGCCATGGTGCCCACTAATAATGTTTTGATGACCTTATCTCTTTGCTCAGATGTCTTTATGCCCGTTTTACAAAAGGAGGCAAAGCCCTCACAATTGTTAAAAGCAAAATTGTAGGGTTCGTTTGTTTAATTATTTTTGCACTATCCTATCCTTATCCAACCCAAAATACACATTTGTTTCCCTATTATGAAAATCCTATTTTATTTTATTCAATTGTTTTTAAACCCTCTAAGTTTGTTAATTTAATAAACACCCCAAAAAAGTTTAAAAATTGACAAAAACACCCCCGCCCACCCACATTTTCCAGATTCCAGCCACCACCGCCAGAAGGTGGTTGGAATCTAGAATAATGGTGCACTACCGGCTGGATTCGGTCGGTAATGCGCTGATCTATCATTTTCCAACCAGATCTAACGGTCAGATCTTTGACTATAGCTAGTCGTCAACGACAGCCAAGATATGATTGTCGTTGACGACCAAACATGGCCAGATTTGGCCTTTTCTAGCCAGATCCATAGTGGACCTGGCTGGAAAAGGTCATCTCGGAGCACGACCGACTAGATCCAACCGGTCGTGCCTCAATACGGCGACTCTGGCCACCCTGTGGTGGTGGTGGCCAGCTACTGGTATTTAATGGATTGGTGGGGGTGTCTTTGTATTTTTTAATGTTTTTATTACAGGGGTGTTTAGTAAATTAACAAACCTATGAGGTGTTTTGTTAATTTTTAAATCTTATCTCGTTATTCTCACCCAACTCTTACTTTTCAAAAATACTATCCAAAATACTAAAACAAACGGACCCGTATTCATCAAAGGTCCTTATTCCTTGGAAAAACGCAGTGGCAATCTTCACAACCTCATCGGGTGGCTTGCAGTATATCGAATTACTATTTAAAATATATAATGAGTGGCCATCGAGAAAGCAATTTAGGCATGTTTTGACGATCCCACTATGTAAGCTTGGTGTGTGCTTACATTTTGGGCATGCGAAAGAAGAGTTACTTTGCTTTGCAGGTGGCAGCAAATGAATGACTATGTTGTCCCCCACATATATTCCTATTATAATCAAGAGAGTTTTCAACGAAAGATAATATAAATACATATACAATATGATTATATATGATTTTCATAGAACAAAATATAAGAATAACAATTTAGAATATATGGAGTCTATGATATACTTACCTACCAAATTATCACGAGTAGTACCACAAAATATAATAAAATTACAATAACTCCACTGAAAATTT